GGCCCCCAGCCCCTCTCCCCTCGGCAGGCTGCAGTTCCCACTCCCCTGCAGCAGTGTCGGGTGGCAGTGGCAGACCTGCCCGTGGGCTGGGGAGCAGGCCCAGGCACAGTGCTGGGAGGACAGAGATGATGGCACATGCCTTGTGCTGCCCTGCTGCAGGCCTCGAGTGCCGGGTGAAGGAGCACAGGTCCCCGGGCTCTGCAGAGGAGGTAGGGATGATGCCTGCTCCTCTGCTCATCTCTCTGTCACCCTGGTGGGGGGGTTGGCTTCTGCATCTCCTTTTGACTGTAGCCCCAACCCTGACCTTCACTGGTGTCCCCAGTCACCCACCTGCAATGGGACAGCCTTGGCTGGGGTCCAGCAGCTCAGCCACATCCCCCAGCACCCTGAGCCCCGCGGGGCATCAGGGTGGGCAGGCTCCCTGCCCCTTTGCTGACCTGTGGGGGTTGACTTCTTTCCCCCGCTAGGTGAGGGTGTCCTGTGACGATGGCTGGGTGCTGACAGGCTGCAACACCAATTCCCAGAGCCCTGGCACCACGGGAGCCCACGCTGCGGGCAACACGTGCGTGGCAGCGCGTGTCCCGGGCGGCAGCGCAGCCGTCGCCGTTTGCTGCCGGACGTGGCCGTAGGGGCTGGAGCTGGAGACCCAGCTGGCCTGGCCCGGTGTAGCAGGGATGGGTGACTTGCTGCACAGCCATGCCACAGACTTGCTACTTTCCCAGGGCAGGGCTGCTGCTCCCAGCACGGCCCACGCTCCCACACGGGGCTGCTGATGAGCAAACGTTGGGGCTGCTGCCACGGTGGGTTCCAACCTCGCCACCCTCTCACACCCAGAGCTCCCCAAGCAGCTCCTGTGCAGCCAGAGTCCTGCCCCAGCACAGGACTCATCCCAGCATCCTTTCCCCACCACACCCTGGGTCTTTCTATAAATACCCTGACTGTACAAGCCCCCTCGAGGCTCTTTGTTCATGCTGTCACCCACCATGAGACACTACCAGAACCTTGAAAAAATAACAATATTGTGGTGACAATTGCTCCTTTCTTTCCTGCTTAGTTGCTCATTAGATGTTACTTTCTGCTGCTTAGCATGTGGAAAATAATAAGCTAGCTGTTTTTGGAGAGTTTTATAATTGCCTACTCATGTACCTAAGAGACTTGTTTAAGCTGTAGTCAAATGTGAGGCTTCTAGTTTAAACAGTCTGCTTGTTTAATTAGATTTTAATCTGCATTGATACAGAGTCAGCAACTGCTTCATTAAGTGTTTTTGTTCTTTTTTTTTTGTTAAGTCAAAGTTAATGATCTGATGGTGTTTTGTCCTGCTTTAACAGTTTCCCTTTTAGGGCTTCTCAAGTCATGTAGAACTGGTTGTACTTCCTTTTTTTTTTTTTTTTTTAAAAAAAAAAGCTTTCATAGTACCTTGGTTTTTATATTTGTACCTTAAATATTTATTTGAAATTTTATAAATTAACATTTTATAAATGTCCCTGTAAAATAAAATTCATAGACCAGTGCTCAGTAGATCTGAATCATCGTCTGGCTTCCCGTGCATCCCCACAGGGAACCAGTCTGGGAGGGGAGCTGGCATCATCCATCCAGCAGGGCTGCTGCTCCCTCAAATGAGCTCTGCTCATTAGGGAGCCAACCACAGGCCACCACCTCAGAGTGGTGCCATCCTCAGAGGCCAGCACAGTGTGGGCACCCTCCCCTTGCCCACAGCTCTGAGCTCTGGGACTGGCACAGAGACCAGGGGCTGAGCCTTGTTGTCACACACACACAACTTTGTTTTTAAAACAGTGGCATAGGACAAGAGCTTCCAGTTATGGAAACAAAGCATCACATGCTCTTGTGCTTTCTGTTGCTAGTAACACTGGACTTCCCTTGATAAGCCTTGAAGCCCCCAAAAGAAGACAAAGCACAGTGGCACAGCAGCAAAGGCTGAGAAGTAACAGAAGCCACCAAAGCTGGGTCTCACTTTTTTGGGTGGTTAGCAGCCTCCTGGTACTACAAGACACAATTTGTCTGATATTACCTGAGGACAGATGAAAAAATAAAGCTTGATACCTCAAGCATCAGGTTAACCTGTCAAACTCCAGCTGTCCTGGGTTGGGTGTTTTCCCCCACCAAAAGGCCCCTTACAGATCCATTACTCCAGCTGTAATTTGCAAGATAAGACAGAGAACCAGTGGGAAGCACCACTTTTAAAGGTTTAAACTATTCCTAATTTGTTACCCAAAGATGGCCAAAGCCCAACCTTAATGTAAACATGTAATTACTTAACATGTACATAATTACAGCCTGTAACTTTCTCAGCTATAATCTGCACAGAGAGGGAATAAAAAAAGGGATGTGAGCCTAAGAGCTCCTGAATGGCTTTGACACAGCCAGCAATTTTTCAGTAGCCTTACTAGGCTGGAACCTCTCAAAACACACAGCAGGTATTTTACCTCTTCCAGCTTCCCTGTGAGAAGGGATGATCCTGCTGCCTGCTCACCTGCCAGCTCCCAGCAGAAGGTGTGAGCACATTCCATGCACAATAAACCAGATCTCTCACGACTTAGCTCGAGCATGAATAAGCCTAGTGGGAAGGAACAATTAAAAGATTAGCCCTTGCTTAGTATCTTGCTGGGGAGCAGGCAGGAAAGCCTCTCATTCAGGAGAGCAGCCTTGAGAGCAAGTACATGGGGACAGTCCTGTCAGCACAGGGTCTGCAAGACCCAGTGCCTGCTCCCAGGGCTGGCACTGCCAGTGGAGAGCACGGCCTGACTCAGGCTTGAAACAGAAACTCTTTGAGTTTAGGAGGGAGGACAAAGGCACTTTCAAGAAGGCAGAACCAGGTGGCAGCTCCCAGCTTATGAAGGCAACAGAGGTGGGCAGGGGAACACCAGCAGCACGTGTCCTGCCCTCTGCACCTTGCACCAGTGGGGAAGTGTTCATTTGAGTCCAGATTGCCTGCAAATCCTGCTGCATCTGACACACACATCCTGCTGCATTTGACACACACATCCTGCTGCATCTGACACACAAATCTGGCTAAACCATGACTGCAAGCGTGACCAGGGCAAATAATTCTGCTAAGCAGGGCAGGAGAAGAAACTGCCCAGAGAAACAAATCTGACAGGAACATGCCCCAGCATAAGGAAACAAAGGAGTGCAGCTCTGAGGGCCACCTGGCTGCTTTGTTTTACTCTGGACAGGAGCCAAAATGGCAATCAAGGCAACCTCACAGAGCTTATCACCCACAGGACTGGCTTATGAAGTTACAAGATAAGAAGATCAACAAGACAACAGCGTAGCAAGTGTATGCGCAGGCTAAAGATTACACTAGTTTTCTGTGAAAGGAATAACTTTATTCCATTGACCAGGAATCCCAAGACTGTTCATCAAGACTGCCTATTTTTCCAGTGCCAAATGTCTATGTATTAATCAGACAATATCTCCCCCAGTGCTCACAGGCAGGCTGCAGCTGCTCCTCACTGAACATTTTGTAAGCTGTATAAAAACATTTTCATCCAAAAAGATTGGCAGTAAAAATTACAACATAGAAATGCATCACCATTTACACAAAAACTAGTTTTGTTGAACTCTGTTTTCCAAAAAATAATCTTCAGCAGGTTCAAATGACAGCAGCTGGAAACCAAAATAATTGACCAAATATCATCTTATTGCAAATTATAACCACTGACTTTGTACAAGCGTGAGCAGAACCATGAAAAAGTTTGTATTGGTTTCAAGCGTACAGTGGTGATGAGCCATCCTGCTGCAATCCTCTTATCCATGCTTCTCTGGGCCTGCAGTAATCGAGGACGTTGTTTCCATAGGAAATAACAGGAACCTGAAGTGACAAGTGGTGCCAAGGCATAGGAACATTAACAGCTTCTTCCACCACCAGCACCATGTACTGACTCCTTGTGATGATTTAGGACCCGTTGGGAAAGTGTTGGGGGTGGGGGAAGGAAGGAGGGGCGATCCGTAAGAAATGACTTCTTCAAAATTCATTTAAAACATCACATTTAAAACGTCCCGTCACATTTCATCAGAAACATTTATAAAATGCTAACTCTGCCATGTGTCTACGAAGACCTTGTTTGGAAAAGAAAGTGAGGGATTCACCACGATGCCACCTTTCCTTACTCCTTTGCAGGGGCAGTTTGTGACAACGACTCTCTTAACCCACAATAAGTTAGAAAGCTGTACAGCTGGAATCAGACCTGATGTTGACTTTCCAACAGTGAAATGACTGGTTAATTTCAATATTAGTGCACAACAGTGAAAAGCTGAATGCTGCTTGTTTCCACAACAGCATGTAAAAAGAAAAAAAAAAGCAAAAAAAAAAAAAAAAGGCACTCTTTGGCTGGTTGTGCCTTTAACTTGGCAAATTTATCTATTGTGGAGGTACCCAGGCACTCCTTAAGATGTCCCCCATTTCTGTGCATGGTTGTTTATATAATTTTTTTCTTTAAAGTAAGGCAGAATCCATAAATAAAGGCAAAAAAGCAGTGCAGAAAATGTGACAAACGCAAAATGTACAAAAGATGAAGAGTTAGTTGGCACAAAAGAAGCTTGTATGAAGAGCCAGAAATCACTGAACTGCACTTGACATGGGAAACAAAACTGCTCAAATCATCCCAACTGGCTTCCAGTTGTTTACGAGCAAATCAAAAGAGTTGTGATATTTTAAACATTGCCTAGTCAAGTGAAAATACAAAGCCAAATCATTCTTTCCCCGTGTTAAAATTGCTATAAAATCTGCACAACAGTGTCCTCAACTCACTTAAGGAATTATTATTCATCATATACAACCAATACCAACTTTCTCAGTAATTTCAAAGCATAAGCAAGTGATTGCAGATCACATGATTGAGACGACATTTTATTCAATATGTCTCCAAAGGTTAAAAAAATGTTATGAGTAAAACTGCAAGAGAAATCCATCTTAAAGTGCTTTTTTTCTTTTAAACTACTCATTAGCTTTTTTTTCTTTTTAAATTCACCAACATCCTTCCATCATAAACACTTGCATACCAAGAGAACAAAGCTTTTCTTTTCTTGCCCTTCCCAATTGTCTGTGGTTTTGGAAGGGTACCAGAGAAGACGACCCATTCCAGAGCTCCTTGACCAAACCACTCTGTAAGGAAACACTCTCCTTACAGAGGCATCTTGCTGATCTTTCTCATAAAGAGCTTTACAAATTAGCAGGGAGACATATTAAATACAGAAGTCCTTATGTAAACCCATTCTTTAACTAATATTTTACAATGAAATGTAAGTCATCACACATCTTTACAGAAATTTGAATATTCCTATTCAATATTATCAGAAAGATTAAAAATTTACCCTCCATACGTAAGGGCAGTCTGGTTTGTTTTGTGTTTTTTTTATTCCTGTATAAAACCCAAAAGATTCTTTTTTGCAGCATCACAGAAAAGCAATAGTTTTACATTCACTCATTTCATGTTCACATAAAAATTCAACCACTAGCGCTTGTGTACTTGATAAAATCTTCTTGACAAACTGTTTTTGGTGTCTGGACAGTCAGAAGCTACTGCAGGTGAAGATGCAGTTTTCTAGAGCAGTTTTCTAGGTCTGAAGCCTTTGTGGCTAAAAGATGCTTTTAGCTTTCAGGGAACCAACCTCCTCTGGCAATGCCTCCGACCCTATAAAGCCACTTCACTTCCAGACTCTTCTATCAGCATAAGCAACAGGACTCCAGTTTCAGTAGGTACCAGGCATTAGATGTTGGAGTTGATCTGTTCTTGTGTAGGTATCAGGTATCCTCTACGGGTCAACATCATCAAGGTCACTTTTAGGCTCGCCAATCATCATAGGAGACTCTGAGCCCTTTCAATCCACACGAGGGATGGGGAGAGAAAGATACGGCACGTTACTTTAAAGGTCCACAATGATTGTGGCTGCATTCCCTGCTGGTTCTGACCCAAGCCCCAGGAACAAGCTGCCTAACAGAGCAACACAAGAGGAACCTGGCCTTATTTTATTGTTACCTGCTGCAGGTGCCTGTCTCCATTTTCGTTGGCTGGGCTACTTTCTGACCCGTTGCTGCTTCCAGACTGATCCTTCTCATTCAGCAAGGCTGTGGCATAGGCCAGCGTGTCCTAAGTTGGAAACAGTCCAAGACAGTGTCAGAAGCCATGGTGATACCTTCATTTCATGTATCCTTTTTTTTAAAGTAGATTCTGAAACAATAGACCTGCTGTAGTGAAACAGCTGAGTCATCACAGGTTAAATGTGAGGTATTGACTAGTATCATTCAAGGGTTAGTTTTTTTCAGGAACAAGCAGAGAGGATGGGCTTCTAGAGGAAGAATGGTCTTTATGCACTAAAATATGCTGACGTTGCAAGATGCTAACTGAAAAGCAAAAAAGGAAATACCTGAAGTTTAACATTGTCTCCCAAGCCTGACACATACCTGTGCTGAAATCGTGCGCTGGAAGGTTTTTGCTGTTGAGGTTTCATTGGATACATTGCTCTGTGGAGCCCAATAATGTTCAGACATCTGCACAAAAACACCAAGAAAGCCATATAACTTCCATACGAGTTCCACCTGTGCAAAGCCTCACCCACATGTGACTGCAGGTGAATTTTATAAAGTCTGGAACAAGCTTTGAGCTGGAGATCTGGAGCACAGAGACTTTTAATGCAGTCAGAGAAGTCACTGCCCCTCAGGTGCATAGAATCATAGGATGGTTAATGTTGGAAGGGGCCTGAAAGACCATCAGGTTCCAACCTCCCTGCTATGAGCAGCGACATTTCCCACCAGGCCAGGCTGCACAAGCCTCATCCAACCTACCCTGGAACACCTCCAGGGAAGGGGCACAGAATGTGAAACAGCTTATGTTTTGTCTGTAGAGTCATCTCAAGAAAGCCATACAGAGGGATGAAATTTCACAATCCTCCCAGTAAACAAAGTAACAGTTTCTCCTTCATGTTACATCCAAATTACCTTTTTCTGTAGCCACTGCACAGCCCAACTCCAGTGGTGGGAATTCTCCTTGAAATAATCTTTTGCAGTAGGGCACCTTGGAAATTGCAATGATATTCATCAGTCATGAACAAGGCATTCTGGCAAGCTTTAAAAAACAACTCCAAAGACCTCTCTCTCTTTGTGCTGCTGCCCTCTGTGTGCACTGCTACCACTGTAAACTCTGAGTTAAACTGTGCAGCCCTATTATTAACTGAATTAACAAGAGCAATAATGCCTAGTAAAGTTTACATGAAGTAGTTTATGACATGCTTTGCTGGGACACATGCCAGTTCTAAACAAAGAGAATTTAGGAAACATAATATTTAAAAAAAATGGGACTGTTTCCTTATGTTTATCTTGGTCTTAATGCTAGGCTCCTGCTCTGCAGAATCCAGCTGACCTTTGCCTTTATTAACAGCAATTATTGGTTTTTATATGAGAAATCCACCTCAGGCACTTATCAGTCAAGATTTCTCTTCATACTGACATGTGCTATTAAGACCTTTGAGCTCCACTTACATCACAGTAACAAAAGATAAAGGTGACAAAAAGCAGAAAGAACTAAATAGTGACAGAGGGGCCCAAGGAAGGGATGAGCTTCAACTCAGACCCCTATCACTCACTTCTGAGCCAAAGTAACAAGGAACTTGACACACTGGTAACAACGGCTGCTGTCCACGTGGTTGCTGTGGTGCATCAAGGCTGTGGGGAGAAACACACAAGATTAAAAAAACACCATCCACATTTCTGTGTACCAGAGCAGTCTGAAAACACAACAAAGATGAAGCTTATATTTTAACTTAGGTGGTAGAAGTTATTTCTACAGATGTTAGCATGAGTATTTGTGTTAAACACACTGCTGTGCTGCTGGCAGTTTGGAGTCCTTCCATAACTCTATTGGATTTAAAACAGATCAAAGTGAAAATACAGTAATTCTTTCAAATGTGGCACCTGAATTTTAAACAGTCCTCTCCTAATGCAGTTATTCTCCCACTATAATCCATTCTGTGTTAGATAATCACTATGGTTACATTTATCTGAAGGAAAAATAATTTTTTGAAACCCCAATAAATGGACCAGATCATCAGCTTCCATCTGGACTAAAATTTGCAAAGCTAGAAGAATGTGTTCCAAGCTTCTTCACACAAATGAGCACAGCAGAATTCAGCAGCCATGAAACTTAATGGGAGACTTGTGCAAAACCCCAGGCCATTCCTACCAGGAAGTTTTCTAAACTGTGTATTCCACATCTTTTAACAGAATTCTTTGTGGAGAAGCACCAAGATTTCCACAGAGCTGCCACAATCAGATCTGCTGCTCAGAAGTTGCTCTGCCCATTGCACTCAGTGAAAAACACTGTAGTGAAAGCTCTAAATTTGGCAAATAACTGCTGGGGAGCTGCAAATAGCCAGTTTTTCTACTGTCCAAGCCCAGCAGAGGATTAAAAGAACAGCATTGGTGTACTGCACAAACGCCTTATTCAGGGTCACAGAAAACAATTATTTCCCGATTTCCTTTCTTGGAGTAAAACTAGCCAATGTGATGGGTAGGTCAGGGTCCATGTGCAGTGAGACTGGATGCTGCTCAGTTCTGTGGCAAGGAAAGTCCAAGGTGAAAGTAAAATTTTCACTCCCCAAACTCACAGGAGTTCTTGAAGCCTTCAACATAAAGATCCAATTGAATAATTGCACCTCTAGAGGAAAAAAGGTCATGCACTGCTCAAGCTGCAAATTAGAACTGGTCCAAGTGGAACAGATTTCTGTAGAAATAAAACAACCACTTAGCTATTCTCTTACACTGCTGTGTATTCCCTTCTATCAGTCATACATGGAAACTACTACACAGAAGAGCACTGAAGTATGAGAAATAAATCAGGAACAAAGCTAAATATTCCACAATCTGAAGCAGCTCCTCCTTCAAACAGCTACAAAAGAGATGCTCAAGCTCTTTGAGCACCATGTGGCTACTCCACATTTCTCTTGCATGCAAAGCCTCTTCTGCCACTTCCTGTGAAGTAAGATCTCATCACTTCTGGGACTTTTCTGTTGCTTTTGAAAGCTTTAGAGTAACTTAACTTCAGCAAAGGTTCTGTATCAAATGGGCAGACAACACTTTGTATGAGCAGCAACAAATATTGGAGAGCCATCTGTCAGACTACAAGGCTATCCTGCAGTCACAGCATCCTTCCTTGCTGAACCATTTTCTTTTTATGGTAATTAGGATGCTGACAAAACAAAAAGATTGGCAATTTCTTGAGATGCATAGGAAATAAATATTTTTTAAGATTACAGGATTTGTAGAGCTACTCTCTTGTATTAATCCCAGATACTTCCCTCCCAGTCCCCCCACATTATGTACACACCCTGATCTGCTTCTTATTTTAAAAAGTTAACTCTCTTGACAACCTCTTGTTTAAGGTTTCTTCAAGTCTCTTTTTAAGTATACAATGCCACTCTTCTCTAAATTCACTGACTCCTGTTGTTGGAGATGAGGAATTTTTCCCAGGTAAATTCCTTCCCAGTTTGACCTGACTATAATAATATTTCAACTCTTATTTTGGATTTTCTTAGAACATTTTTTGGGGTGGTAGTGGCTAAATCAAATGTGTCAAGTTATCTTCCCTGAGAAGTAAAAGAGCTGAGAAGGATTAGAAACTAGGAGATGATAGGAACCACCATCAACATAAGGATCAGTAGGAGACAGGAAGGTTCACCCACTGGCTTACTTGCCTATTAATCCATTTTCAGTTTCAAAGGCAAATTTGATGCGTTCTACTTGTAATGGGTCTTCAATAACCTGGCAGGAAAGAAAAAGATCAACTTAACTTGTGTGTGATACTTGCATCTAATCTACAAAATGGTTTTAACCACCTCCACATGAAAAACAAGTAAGACTTGTGAAATTTCATGTATCACCAGATCATCAAGGCAGCAATTTAAAAACTCCTAATTTAAGAATTTAAAGACATGTGGATGTTGAAATGACCAAAGCAGTCCTGACTTCTGTATCCACACACAAGCTGTCCTGTACAAGTCTTCACCCTTCACCTACCAGTATCTCATGCAGTAACTGGAATATGTTTTTCAGTTCATGAGGTGGAGCAGTTTCCAGCTGAGTCTGCATGTAAGAAATATAAAATTATTTAGGGTCAAATATGTTAACAATGCAAAGAATTACAGTATTTTTTAAAGTGTGATGTTTTAAACACAGCAAAAGCCTAAAACCCCCTGCCAACCCACCAACCTCCCACCTCCCAAATCCAACAAGCTGTACTGATTTCTCTACAGATCCCTGTGGCATTACAGCCCACAAGACACAGTATGAACAAAGCCTAGAAGAAGCACTTCTGCAAACAGCTTGATGATCTCCCTACCTTGATGAAGTGCAGCACAGTAAAGGAGAAGTGCTCATTGCAGAAGCAGCAGTACACCACCATCTCCATGAGAACTGACAGAGATCCCGTCAGCTCCCGTAGCGCATACATCACCTAATGGGAAAGAGCAAACCATTCCAGACACAGCCACACAATTGTTTTGATGTTTGTAATAGAATGTAAGCCTGTTTCAGGAAGGACAGAATCACAGAATCACTTAGGTTGGAAAAGACCTTCAAGATCAAGTCCAACCACCAACCACTAACCCTCAACCACCTCCCTGGGCAGCAGGTTCCAAAGTCCGACAACCATTTCAGTGAAAAAGTTCTTCCTAATGTCTCGTCTGAAACTCCCCTGGTGCAGCTTGAGGCCACCTCCTCTTGTTCTATCACCAGTTACTTGTGAGAAGAGACCAGTGCCTGTCTCTTTCTTCCAGGACCTGCTACCTGCTGAAACTGCTGAACCCTCATAGCACTCATGTCAGCTCCAGCTGCCCATCTCCACGGGCATGGCCAAGCACAAGCCATTAAGCCAGAGCAATTAAAGTGAGCACCTCCAGCTGATGCAGTAACTGACTGCATAGGCACTTGTAAGTACTTTCAGCTGCTTTTACTAACAACTTAAACTCTCAAACCAGACCCCTATGTTTAGAGATATACTAGAATAAGACTGAGCCAAGAAGAAACCAGAGGTGCTTCCTTGTTTAAGCTCAAAATAATAGCCACATACTCCCCAGCTGTCTGCTTTTTAATACTCAGTGTTTTTCATGTATGGAAACTTCAAAGAAATCACATCAGACCAGCTTTTAGGTTCAGGCAGGGCAGAAGAGCTACCTCCATTAAGTAGGGTTTTCCCTCAGAGAGGAACAACAAGGCTTCCACTTCTTCATGGAGCGTCAAAAGTGGAGCTGAAGCGGTGATGCTTAGAGGTGGACGCTGCTTGAAGAGACCAGGAGCTGTAATGCAAACACAAAACCAACCCACTAATGAATCAGTTTGTTCTACACACCTTGAAGACACTGCTGCTTATTTGGCACCATGTAATCTCTACTGGCCTTTATCTCAGCTATCTTAGAGCCTGTATGGTAGAACTCCAAGGAACAATCTGTTGCACACTGAAATGTCATTTAGTCTAGTGACAACACAGGCACATGTGGACAGGGAAAGGCACAACTAAGTTAACAGCAAGATTCCAGCCCCCCCAGCTCTCAGTGCCTATATTACTATGTTTGCCACAGTCTCTTGGTACATTTACAGCAAAATAAAAAGTAACCAAACATATACTAACCACTACTGCCTTAAACACAAAGTTAATATATTTTTCTCCCTGATACAAAGTTACTCAAAGTAACTGAAATGCAAAGTGACCAAAAGGCAAAAATACAATTCTTACCAACATTTCTTTGTGAGGAGACATCAGAGTGCAAAACAAGTAGTGCTACAGTATTGTGAAGGTACCCAAACTCCCGTGCTTGTGCTGAACTCCACCTGCGATTCTGCTGAGCCAAAGGAGAGAGATAATCAACTTTTGATTGGTTGATTCAGTCAACTTGTTCATCACAGAATGGTTAAGGTTGGAAAGGACCTTAAAGATGACCAGGTTCCAACCTCCCTGCTACAAGCAGGTACACCTCCCACTAGATCAGACTGCACAAGCCTCATCCAACCCCCTCCAGGGGCCTAATTCCTTAACAGTCCATCACCATGTTCTAATACTTCAAAGCTGGTGAAAATTCTGTTTTTACCAAAAAAAAGACACTCACTTCTACACAAATCAGCTATTTCCACTCCAACTACACAAAGGCAGACTAGGAATTTTACAGAATAATTCAAGGATTAGTCTATCTTACCACATACAAATATTTATCCATCATTTAAGCACAGTAAAACCCAGGGGGGTGGCAAATTATAGCACCACACACTCTACATGAACGTTACCTGGTTACTCTGCCGGTTGGGGCCAAGGAGAAAGTTGATCATGTGCTTCAAAGCAGAGTGTCTGAGAAGAAGACTGCTAGCCCTTATGCCCTGCTGTTTGAGACAAGAATAAAAAGTTACATTCCTGTGCAGGTGAAAAAATTAGTGCTCGAGGGGACAAAAGTAAAATGCAGAGGCTAGAGACAGGGTTTGCTACTCTAAGACAAACAGCATCACACAGACGGGTAAGGTAGCCCTCTAAAAAGCTGTCCCATTATACAGAGAAAAAAGAATAAGGGCATAGAGAAAAACCATGCTGGGGTGAACAGTCCAGTCAGTTATTCTGCTTCCTAAAGGACAAGAATCACTGAATACTGGAATTTTTTTTTTTTTAGGAACAGCAAAGGAAACCCTCCGAAAAATTCAGACTTTGGAAGTGACATCTTCAGTTGGCAAACTTGGCTGGTATATTTTTGTGTGATTTGATCCTAATCCAGAGTTCAAAGCCACTTACTTTTCAAGAAAAAACAAGAAAAAGGGAAAAAAAATAGTAAAAGTTCTGGAAGAGTTTCACTGTGCTGCTTAAATCTTCTATAAATATGGATGGCCATCTGCTTTACTATTGTCCTTTAGCATTAGGATAGAAAGAAAACCAATGTTTTCTTACCTTCTGTACAAAGTTATTGAATAGCAAAAAGTACTGAGCACAGTTTTTACAGTTTTCAGGTACATCTTTATCCAGCAGAGCAAGTAGCACCTCCAATAATTGATGTAGACTTTTTAACTGTGAAAAAAAGATAATTTTGATGTCAAGAGTTGTCTTCTGCTTAAAAAACAAGTGTTTCTCATATGGGAGTTAAGGTATGGTTAACAAAAGCATGTTTGTGGTCAGACACACTTTCTGGTGAGTATCAGCAGCTAACATAGGACTGCAGCATTCCCATTTTTTTACTCTTCTGAATGAATATTAAACAGGAAAGTGATGAAAACACTAGCAAAAAAACTTGCTGAAAAAGGTGGAACTCAGCAGTTACCTAACTTACTCTTAAAGCAATTCAAATTACTCCTCAGATTGAACAGATGTTCAAATGTTCCAGTCACTACAGCAATGCAAAACAAAACAGAACTGAACTGTCACTCAGGGTCTCAGGTTTATGTACTATCACTCAATTATGCAAAAAGCAACGTGTCTCATTTACATCAAAGCACACTTAAGGGTTTATACACTGATGTATTATTTACACATAGTATTATTTATAAACACTGGAATTTATTACCTCTCAGTTAACAGACAGCAACCAACAGCCAAGATAAAGTAACCAAAATTATCAAACTATACTATTAATGTTCATCTCCCTGCTGCTGTATTCAGCTTGTAGAACCTCAGAACAATCTTTCCTTAAAGCTCCAAACATCACAAACTTTCTTTACAGCAGCCAATACAACAGTAGTGCCTTCCATCCACGACACTGGATGCAAAATAGAAGATCCCAGAAGCTGGATAGGAGAAAAGCCTTTCCCCTTGTCATTTACAAATCACACAGAGCATTGTCTGCAGATGCAGCAAGAGCCATCAGGCACAGACAACCAAGAGGATTACTGGGGATGGGGTGACACCAACCTTCTCCTGATAAAGCAAGGCACTGTCGAGGGTTTTTTCAAGAATAGTGGCGACTGCAACTCGCACCTCTCTTACGCTGCATTCCAGGAGGAAAGTCCTGGAAGACAAGAGGCAAAGCTGCAAAGAGAACTGGGATCAATGTGCACACACAGGGGGTTATGACTAAGTGTGGTGTTTATTACTTTAGAAGGGCCCTAGTAAGGCCTATATTACCACCTTACATTTATGTAGTTTCACTTGTCCCTAGTAAGGCCTATAATATTTACATTTATTCATCTGAATAACAAAAAAAAGGTAAAACTAAGTTATCAGAGGATTCCATTTTTCTATGCAATTTCAAAGATAAAATTTTCTTTACACTGACACACCTCTCTAAACGTGTCATTTCTTCAATAATTTGTCTTAGGTGTTTTGAAAACAACACATCTCGAGCGTGGTGAGAAAAATTATTTCCAGTTCATCTGTGATTTTTTTCAGGTAAGTATTTAACTTACCTGAATCCAAACACTTTCATCACCTTCTCCTTTCCCACCACTTGCAGGGTTGACTAGACACAAACTTAAACACAATCCAAGGCACTGCACTGAATTAAACAATTGCATCCTCCTCCAGGTATGCTGCACTATTTTATTACATTTTCAGAACGACTCAGAAAGCTGCACGATCAGAGAAAATACTAGAAATTAAACCCTAAGTGATTATCTAGAATGTCTGTTTAAAGAGTGTACACAGTCAAGTCTCTGGGAATACATCAGGATAGGTCAGGTCATGTTATTAGGAAGCTTTATGCACACATGAGGCACAAAACACATCAGACAGAATGACCAGTACTTACTTGACAAGCTCCCGTCCCTCTGGCCCAATGAAATACTCCACTAACCACTGACAAGCATCAATGCTTTTGGAGAGCAGTGCATCTATGGTGGCAATCCATTCTTCTGTATCAGCCCTTTAACAAAACAGGAACAACTGTCAGTAATGAAAAAGGAAAAAACACCTCCAAAACCTAAGCAATGTTTCTTTTGACAAATAGAATTTTTACTTTAATTGAGCATATGTTAGATTGGCTTAAGACAAAAACACTTGGAGAAATATTTTGGAACAACTTGTTGACTTAAAATCCATTAAAACCTTTCCATGCCCAATCCACTGCCACCACAATGATGTTTAAGGTCCCTTCCAACCTTAACCCTTCTCTGATTCCTTGAAAATAATAAGAGAGGAAGCAAACTCTCAGATTACACATGACCCTCCTTCCCCTTAAGATTTCTTTGCACTGGGATTCCAATGCAAAGCAGAAATGTACTGCT